GTGACCAAATAAAAATCGGCATTATTGTAACCTATTAAAGATGTTTCTGCGATATTAAATGAAAGAAACAAAAAAAAACAGCGGGAAATAAAAATATGTACGAGATAATTAAAAGGACTAGAGGTCCCGCAGTAGTCTAAATTCGACTATAATTAATTGGAATTGTAAGTTTGTACACTATTATGATTGTATTTTATGCTTCGATAATCACAAATTTCGCCAAGATTACACTATAAAAAATATTAACAAAGACAAACAATATTCAATCTATTCTCAATTTGACAACAGACGTCAAGAACAAAAGTTGACAATAAATAGTATGCATGCGTGTGTGCGTCAAATACATGGTATGTAGTGTGTGTAATGTTTTCTTTATTGATTTAATGTATCTTTTATGCATTATTTTAAAAAAATATTAGCATTGCGCACTTCTTCTCTATATTCTCTATAAGTGTGGAAAATTTCATACTCCTCCGTCCGCGCAATTTACGTAAAAAGGGATACAAAGTTTTTGCTTCACGTATTAATATATAGATGAACGGGAGTCATTTGTGAATTAAAAAAAAAGCAATTTTCAATCATAAATATTCAATTCATTCTAAATGGAGAATTAAATGATGAAGAGAGAAAAAAATGTTTCGGTATACTAAAAGCGCTTGAAAACACTTTTATTGTTGCTTCTTCACGGTTCGTTTGTTTTTATTTGTATAGACAGACGGAGATATCTGATTTTAGATATCGAAAAACGTCAAAATCCTTCTTAGAAGGCGGTCGGCGATGGCGATGCAAAAGTTTTAGATTGAAATCGACTTCCAAGAATTATAAATAATTTATTTATTCGTAGCTTCCAAGCGCCTTTTGTGTATTCAAAATGGCATCTTAATTGAAATGATTTTCGTGATTACGGGTATTATATGTTTTAGTTAGGATTTTGTACTTTTTTACATCAACTGGGTCGCGTTAGTCGTGTTCACCATATGGCGGCTTTTTTTTATTACTACCTGAGCTGATAGCCTAACCTAACAAGTCGGTGAGCTCATGGGGCTTAAACCTGACGACATTACTAACACTGGCCCTAGCAAGAGCAGTGCTTCATAGAACCTACCTCCTCCTCCTTGCGTCGGTTTCCTCATTACTGAGGGTCGTGGTCGTGGTCTTGAAACAGTTTGTTTTTATAATGCACCGCCATCTGTTCCTATCTGCAGCTGAGTGCAGAGCATCGTGCACTGTGTATCAAGGGCTGCACGAATCTGGTCCGTCCAACGGGTCGAGCTCCTGACTCTTGGTCGCTTGTATAGAACCTACCACTGGATCGGAAACAAGACCCACTGAGAAGATCCGGCGAGAAACTCAGTGGGCTTTGTCTGTGGGTTAATTACTCGCCGAACCCTTCGTCGCAAGCGACGGTTTTGACGAGAACGATGGCCAACATTAAAAAACATTAAAAAAAAACATACAGTCAAATTAAGAACCCGAAGAAAAAAAACCCGGCGTTCGGCGGGTTAAGCTCCGGAAGAAAAACTCGAGAGATTGTAGCCTATATTTTATGAAGTCCGGCTTTCGAACCCATGACTGTTTATTGTTGTTACCGAAAGTCGAATCTCGTGAATAAATAAAAATCGAGAGGCATCTTAATGGGGACCTCTTGAAATTTATTGACGCGCTATTGAAATAAATAATAAGGAATCCAGAAAGTGTTGAGTGAGTGTGATAAAAACGTTATTGTTAATCTCAAATTATTTATTTGGAAAACCAACAGCACAAAACAAACATATAATATATTAAAAAAAGAACTAAAACAAAAACCAAACAAGTTTCCACCATCAGAAATACATACCTATATCATGAGTAGAAAGTAAACAAAGAAAAAAATTCTAAATTTATGTTTACAAAGAAATACAACCACACAATACGCACTAAATTATGCAGATCCACCTATATTTTATGTAAATACATGAGCAGGGCCCTGAAACTGCGATACTTCAAGACAAATATTTTCTGTATGAAAACTAGCGACATCTTGTAGCGGATGCCCTTAACTTATGTTGTTAAAGTTAAGGCATTTAATTATTGTATAACTAAACACAGAAAATAAATATTAATAAATCATACAAGTCTTTATTTGTTATAGACAAATTGATTAAATTTTATAAATTTGTGGTTTCTGAAAAAAAACAAAATCCTTCATTAAAAATAAAATATAGGATAGGTAATATTTTACGGCCATCTACAGGAGCAATGACAAACTAATCGAAGCGAAGCCATCTAGTGGCCGACGCCCGTAAACATTTTGTTGAGTGCTTGAGTTGCTTATCTATAACTAATTTATGTATATTATCTATGTACATAAATATGAATGAAGCTCATATTTAAATTTCCCGCGCATTAGCTTCAACTTTAGCGTACTATAAATTGGGCAGTTTGATTATAGCTATTTGGTATTGAGTTGCACGGACGTGTCTTAGCGTATACGCATAACGTTTTTCAATAAGTTAATAAAATTCATAAATAACCATTTAAAATTATTTTGCTTTTATGAATTTAGCATTGATTTCGTATTTTTTATAAAGTTACTTTGTCTTAAAAATAATCCTTTAGCAATTTCTAAATCGAAATATATGTAAATAAACTCAGCACTAAAAGGGTTAAAATGTCGACGCATTTCGTCTTATCCATTCTAATCCTATAAAATGTACATTCTACTATTAGCCGGTAGTTAATATAAAATTGGGAGACAGTAAAAATCGTGAAAGTAAACGGTAAAAGGTAATGTTAATTGAGAAATATTTATATATAATTGTTTATAATTGATGAGAGAATGTTAAGTAGTTAACTCTTGTTTTCATGTTATTTTCAAATATACTTTTTTTGTCGTACTGTTAACATTTAAATTTAGCCTATTTTTCCGCTGTTTGTAAAATTGCTGTAACATGTCATAGTGAGTGTTATAAGAGATTGCTGTACATGCCTGTAGCTGGCTTACATACCAGTATTTAATTATATACATGGTAATTTTAAGCTTGAATGTTTTGTGTGTATTGCTGTTGGTGTGTCTAAATAAATAAATAAATCAGTACCTACCAGTGCGGTCAAAATTGTTAAATGCCTCCGGAATTTCAGCTACGATAAATTCTCCTTGATCGATATATTTTGTGTACCGGGCGATACAGTGTTCAAGCTGAGTTTCTAAATTAATTTAAAACAAGATTGAATTTGAAGTGTTTTTTTTATTTATTGCTTAGATGGGTGGACGATCTCACAGCGCACCTGGTCTTAAGTGGTTACTGGAGCCCATAGACATCTATGACGTAAATGCGCCACCCACCTTTGAGATATAAGTTCTAAGGTCTCAATATGCACAACGGCTACCCCACCCTTCAAACCGAAACGCATTACTGCTTCACGACAGAAATGAGTGTGCGACAGATATACCGACCATGGCATAATGATCCACCAAAGAATTATATAATCGAAAAACTAGTGATTGCCTCTCTTATCAGTATATAAAAATAAAAACTTTTTAATAAATATATAAATTTGAATGTTGTGGCGTAGGCACATAACTCTGAAATGTTGAATCTTTGCTCAAGGCAATCTGTATCATTTTTTTTTATTAATTTTGTAGGCAGACGAGCGCGCTACCCACCTGATGGTAGGTAGTTACAGTCGCTGATGGACGTCAGCGATGCCAGCGGTAGAGCCAAGCCCCGCTCCGCCAAGCTCCATACAAATTTGAGTTAACTTTTACGCTATCGAGAATGTTAAAAAACTCACACTTAGCACACAGATCTCTTCATACCGTAATCCAAACTTTAAATAAGAAACTACCACCGTGATATTGCGGGTGGTGTTGTGGAAAATGGTTCTGTAAACCAGTACACGCTCAGAGGAATATACAAACAAATTGTTTTTATTAAATTGTTTTATATAGATAGATATACGCCCTCCATTATGTTGACTTAACAATTCAATATACGATTTGTCTTTCGCCAAACAGTTTACCGTTCCACACAGCCGTATGTTATACAATGGGTTGATACAAAAATGTTCTTTGTGTGCACCGAAATAATAATGTTTTTCGTGTGTATTCATAAAACAAAAATATGTTCACGGTGTTATTGTCATATCTGGTAGGTTACAAATGAAAAAATATGTTATAATGGAACGAATAAAGTCGTTTTTTGGGATTCCTAACCGATTTGGTTATTTGCAATTACATTTGGTCGCATGTTTGGAAAGTTGTCAGGGTAAATTCGACGTTGTAACGTTGCACATAAGGCTTTTTGGTTTATTATTGAGTTGTGATTTTTGTCGATGTTTCCACACATCGCACGTTGTTTTTATTTGCCATCGTTTCCGCTGATAGTCAACTTTGGGAGATCATTTTGTCTATATTACATTATTTATTTTTAATATCAGCTAACATAATCTTCATTACATTTTATTAATTGAAAATATTCACGATTACCTAGTACCTAGTATACAGATATTAGATACTAGGTAATCAGTAAATTATACAGATACTAGGTAATCTACTACTAGTACTCATGGTAATTATGATTACCTACATGTATGTTTTATTGTTGAAAAGAGACAATGACGCAGTCAACTAGACGTTTTGCAGGCTCATGGGAGGACATGGCCGGCAGATATTAAAATCTCAAATATTAAAAAAATGGCGTCACCGTATCTCTTGAAAACACATGAGTGACTGAAAAAACCGAAACAAGAAGAGTTTGGTTCGTACAATTTTAAAAGAGCAGTCATTGAATACTCATCTTTTATCTTAGAAGCAGCAATGTAATTACTGACTAAACAACGTTTTTAGACTGCTCGTAGGGTACTTGTAAATCAGATGACGCGCGGGGTCAATACTTTTTTTTTAAAATAACAGATATTTTTGCTTTGAAGACTAAATGTAAAGTTGCGTTCCATAAAATTGTTAATAATAGCTCCGTATAAATTTACTTACATTAACATATTTATTCTTTTGTATGCAGGTGTGACGACAAGGAGTGAAGAAATATTAGGTAAAGCTACATATTATTAACTTATTTTTAATTAACGCTACGGTTATATGAAAAAGTGTTGCAAGTAAGCCATGCACATCGAGTATCCGTGGTTTAGTAATATGAGCCCGTTAAATATTAGTAAGCAGAATACTGATTTTCTCTCTTTTACCATCGCACCGCCAGTCACAAGAGTAGAGTTCGTCCATACTGCCTCGAACCACTGTGTTCATCTACAGTGCACTTCCAGAGATATTTTTGCCACGTACCATTCGGCTTTTGAATGAGCTCCCCTCCACGGTGTCCTTCTTCAAACGAGGCTTGGGAGAGTATTTAACTTGTGGAGAGTCCATTGGCGACGGCTACCCCTCACCATCAGGTGGGCCGTATAAAAAAGTATCTTGCGACCCTAGTGATATTATGCGGCTAACAGAAAATACTAGGTAATACGCTTCCATCCAGATTGACACAAGAGTTAGAAGTTTCAATGAGATTGTGTACCGTCACACAGTAAAAACCGGACCGCATGATTGCTTGGCGGCCAAAATAGATGGGGTTGTGGTACTCACCCGTGCAGAACTAACAAAACGCCTTATCGCTAATAAAATGCTACATCAGGTGATAAGTCTGCGCGGACTGTTATCCACAGTCTTGTGTATTCCTACAGCGGAGCAAAAAACATTGTTACTTTTATTTATTGCTTACATGGGTGGACGAGCTCACGGCCCGCCTGATGTTAAGTGGTGACCGGGGCACATAGATATCTACGAAGTAAATTCCGCCACCCACCTTGAAATATAAGTTTTAAGGTTTCAGTGTAGTTACAACGGCTGCCCCACCCTTCAAACCGAAACGCATTACTGCTTCACGGCAGAAATAGGCAGGATGGTGGTACACACAACACATATAAAAAAAGAAAAAAAAATTAAAAAAGTAGCCTATGTTCATCAGGGACAATGTCGGCTTCTAATGGAAAAATAATTTTTCAAATCGGTCCAGTACTTTCGGAGCCTATTCGAAACAAACAAACAAACAAATCTTTCCTCTTTATAATATTAGTATAGATATAGATTTATCATACACTCTTCAGTCTCGATAGTTTGACCTCCTTGTTTTTTCATAGTTACCTCTTCTTCAATCTTATTCTACAACGTTGAAAATTAATTAAGACAGCTCCTCTCTTATCTTACGAATCTTTGAATAATTCGACACATGAATTTTGGCGGCGAAGAAATAAGTTTCGAAAAAAAAAATGCGTAAATTTGAGTTTAAATTCGCGAATTAAATCTAATTCAAATGTTCGATTTTTTTTCCCCTCATGTGAGCCAATCCTCGCACAGCGTCTATAGGATTCAGCATCGGGTCCTGCTTCGTGCAAATAACGAAGTGCCTAGTTCGAACCAAAGGTCCTGTTGGATTGCTCGCTATAAGCGATCATTGGTGGTAGGACGTTTTGTGAGTCCGCGCGGGTACCACCACCCTACACATTTCTGTCGAGAAGCAGTAACGCGTTTCGGTTTGAAGAGCGAGGCAGCCATTAGAAGTAAGACTTTAGAACTCACGTCTTAAGGTGGGTTGAGGCATTTACGTTTTAAATGTCTATGGGCTCCGGTAACCATTTAACACCAGGTGGGCTGTGAGCTCCTCCACCCATCTAAGCAATACTACGAATGCTGAGAAACAAAACTATTACTAATAATTTTCTAACGAATTCAATTAGAGAAATCAAAAGGTTGTAAATGTTAACAGAAGTCCGTGGAAGCTATCTAGTGAATGGCATGTGAGCTTAAAGCACTAGGTTAATCTGAACGCGTCTTAAAACTCGATGGTATTGTCCAGGTATGAACCAACTCAACCAGCAGCTATGTACTTAATAAGTATCGCCCGGTTACGCTGGCATAACCCCAAAAAAATCCATATTGAATTACACAAAAAATATTTCGATGGGATTTTTAATTTCATATTAAGATCAAACAAATATTACTACAGCACATCAAAACTCAAAATATCTTTCCGGTTTCGAAGTCAGTCCGTATATGCAGTTGTTTTGATTGGTCAGATCATTTGACTTCGATAAAGTTGATTGTAAGTAAATTCAGGTAGGTGCTGTGGTCGTATTTCTGGAGGGAAACATCATGTGGGTTTTTGAGAGATCAGACTCCCGTTACGCAATACAATCGTACCTTCGACCTCATGCCTCAAAGTTGGTGGCGTGTACCGCATTGCGTTATCTAAAAGCTCCTGTAACTTTACACCAAAATCTGTAAGCTCATCTAATTCTTCTTTTTTATAAAAAAAAAAAGGATAGCTTTAAATCTCACGCTTCCACTAGAACCGCGATCTAAACTTTTATCAATACAAAAAAGCTGTGATTGAAAGCCCTACGTGACAAAACTCAGATTCTAGGGTCGTGAAAAAATATCACTACCGTTTTTTTTATCTCAATGCTCTCAGTTTTGATGTATTAGTGGTGATTTAAAAAATATATGCCTATAATTTTTTTTTATTATGATACGAATTTTTCAGTCATCTAAATGTGGTATTTTTGTCGGTCATTTTCGAATCGTATATGACGACATAGTGACAGTAATAATTAAGACTCAATTTTCGAATGAATTCCATTTATTGCATGTCGAGTGTACAACGAAAAATACAGAGGGCTCCGCCTCGGACGGCTGCTCTAGTTGGAATGTTTTGTGCGTAATAGTCACTCGTATTTATTGTAGCAAGTAGGGGTAGTTTAGTTATGAATTCTCTTGGATAGCGTCTTAAGCAGTTGTTGATATGCGTAAAATTAAGGAAACAGTTAGCTTTAACTATTTTTAGTTAACTAAATAGTGAGGTTGCGCCGACATATACATACTTTTGCGGTTACGAATGATACTTTAGTCGTTGGTGGCCACGAAAACTATAAAGTATTAGAAGGGTCGAAAAAATATAATGACAATAAATAAAGTGAGATTAAAAGTGAATTTTAAATATATCAATCTAATGTGGCTTTATCGCGCAAGACATTGCTCATCGGAAATGGCGTTGGATAGGACACACTCTACGGCGCAGCGTAGTCAACGCAGCATCAATCGCGTTTGAGTGGCAACCGCTTGGCAGGAGAAGACCTGGTCGCCCTGTACACACTTGGCGACGCACCGTAGAGAGTGAGATGAGGACTGCCAACGTGACCTGGAGTGATGTCAAGGAGCAAGCGCAAGACAGGGTAAAGTGGAGACAACTTGTGAGGGCCCTATGTACCAGCGGGATACCCTAGGACTACAACAAATGTGGCTTTTGGTTCCTTATTTCAGTTATAAACTTTTTTTTTAATGTGAGTTTACACCTATTCCATCATACATAACTCTGCCATGGAGCAAAAGTATTGTGAGTTGACCTCAATTTCATGGTGTGGTGACATTGACGTTGTTGTCCATGGTCCCCGACAACTATAACAATCATCTACCCATCCAATATAGCGACTTTTCTCATCTTAGTACTGTTCTAGACTAGAAACCTTATTAAAAAATCATACAAAGGATGAAATCAAGTGCTAGAAATACCAAGAAATAAAACTAAGTGAATTTATTTCAATAGCACTCTTCCTGGAAGCTTTCGTAGTGAGCTTAAATTCCCCGGTACGGCAGCTTTCGATTATGGCACGATTTTAAATTGAAACTGTCTAACAATAGAAATTGTGTTACTCCTGATAGTTCGGGCCATAAGGAATGCGATTCCATGTTATACGTTCAATTTCAAAGGTATTTAAAAATAAATGCGCTAGTAATGTTACGCCGGTGAGAGTAACGCCATCTATCGTCAAATAGTCGAACGAATATCGAAGGATCTAGTAGCACCTAGAACGCTCGAGAAGTACAACGCCATCTATTGTCAGATAGCGGAAACACAATCACCTGAACCTGAACGGATCACCTGAAGCGAAGCGGAAAAAGCGAATTGAAAGTTTTAAAGCGTTTGTTGAGTGATTTAAGTGTTCTAAGCGTTGAATACAGTGTTAAGTTGTGATTCGGTAGAATTTTATTTATCCCGAACCCCAGCGCGTAACAGCAGGTACTGATAGTCCGGAAATTGAATTGATCACTTAGCATTAGGGTTGTCAGCGCGTGAAAAATTTAAAAATAAAAATTTCAGAGCCTTTTTTGGTAAAACACCTTAATATACTGTAATTGTTAAAATAACAGTTGAAAGCTACATTGTTTGGTATTGAAATTGTTAATAACCTTTGTAGCTCATGTTTGTTGCCGTGTTTGGTTAACGACAATGGAAATAACTTCTACCAAGCGGGTGTAATTGCTCGGTAGACCGACGGTCTAGATGTTGTCAGGCAACTGCCAAATATCTTGTGTTCTATGATGGCTACCCTTACCACATGTCCATAAGCAAACAAACTCATGGCCCACTGATCTCTGGAGTCCCAACATATGAATGTCGCCATCAACCTTGAGATATCAGTTGTTGTTGGCTCTTTTGCCGCGTCTGTAGATATAGATGTCTATTAGCCCCAGTAACCACTTCACACCACGCGGGTCATGAGCTCATCCATCTAAGCAATAAACGGTAGGCAGCGGCTTGGCATTGCTGAACTTCATGAGCGACGGTAACCATTCACCATCAGGCAGGCCGTATGCTCCTCTGCCTACAAGGGCATTAAAAAAAAATACAGCAGAACAGATGGTCGGACCACGTAGCGGAGGAATTGAAAATACCTGTCAGCGACGCACCCCACCAAGCTACAGAACGGGATCAACGGAGACAGCTGGTTGACGGAATCAAACGGAGTCACGATCCTCCGCAATGAGGGACCAATCGAAGAGAGAGAGAGAGATGCTACATCAACTTCTTGCTGGTGGTAGGACCTCTTGTGAGTACCGCACGGGTAGGTACCACCACCCAGTCTATTTTCTGCCGTGAAGCAGTAATGCGTTTCGGTTTGAAGGGTAGGGCAGCCGTTGTAAATATACTTGAGACCTTAGAACTTATATCTCACGGCGGGTGGCGCATTTACGTTGTAC